CAATCCGGGTTGCCGGATTTCGAGTATGCAGATTTCTGTACAGAACAATAACAATTCACTATATCATCCTAAATCCATCCAATAGTATTACACCTGTTTAAAATAAATCCAAATGACAAAAACTTGGATCGGTGAAAACACAGAGATTTTATTTTGTTAAGCTGTTTGCAAAAAGCGGGGGATCTCAGCTGACCTCAACAAGAAGTTTGAGCCAAGAACCGCCCCTAAGATTTCAATACATTACATTTTATAGTTCTTCTATCCCGACGCCCCCCCGCCACGCCCCTCCTACATCGACCCAGTGATCGAGCACAGCTAATCCGGGGCGCCTTATGGAGACCACATCATCTCTTTTGATACCTCCCAATGACCTCCCATCACATCTTATCTTATTTGGCATTAAAGAATGTCCCCTTTTCTACCGGTCTGAGAACAAAGAAATATCTATTCCTAACACCACACTTGTTACATATTAATGTTACATTCAGCACTTCTTCGTATATGCATTTCTAACAGCTATGCAAAGTAAAAGTCTGGCAAACTTAAGCTGATGTTTTGAAAAACAAAATCTAGCTTCAATTGATTAAAGAAAGTTAGAGCAATGGTTTATCTCTTCTCCTATTCTCCTCCTAATTGAACTTTTGTTATGTCAAATGCGTATGTGAATTGCCTTGACAGTTTAAGATACGAACGGATTCCTGGAGGAAGTAGGAGTGGCATTACTTGATACAGGAGGATGTATTAGATTGCAGGTACATGTTTAACGATGAGTAAATGTATTAGAAGACATATTTACGGGTTACATCAAGATAATAAATGTCTATAGAGCAATTGTCTTCTTAATCCTATAATATACTATTCTATTTACCTGCATTTTATTTTTGATTTTTCTTATTTCTAACACTTCTCCCCCGTAACCCACGTTGCTCCCTTATCCGTTCCTCCCTGCGTGCCCTAGGATGCAGAGGGGGCGGGCCTGGGTCTTCCTCTGAATGCCCAGCCGGACTGTACCCTTCCCCAGTTTCCTCCACAGCCACCAGAGCCACATTCCCACTCCCTGTCAGCTGTTCCATCTCTCTCTTGGAGTCAGACTCCAACAGGGGGATGACAACAAGGTTCAATGCATTGTACTGCATATATCACATTGCTCATTTTGTGTCTGGGTCTTTTATTCTTGGGGTGGGCAAGCTTCTGTCTTAGTGTACTCTTGGGTTTAAAGTGTTCACGTACATTGTGTTGGCTGAAGATCCTCCTGAGTTTTGCAGAGATTCCTGCAATGTACGGAATGACAACATTGCTCCTTAAAAAGGACCTTGGATTGACTGAGAATCTCTATAGACAACCATCATAAGTGCGCATCTGTTGCCAAGCATCTGAATTTTGATCACATCCCAGGAAAACGCTGAATCGATCATAAGTCTGAAAAAGGGCCATAAGTCACTTTAAAAAAAAATAAATTGATTTTAACAACAAACAAAACCACATAAAACATACAACATAAAACATAAAAACATCCTCCTCCTTCATAGATTTACAAACAGTCACTTTTTTCATGGTCCTGATTTTTCGGGGTCACTAAATGCACTGTTATAAGGCAAGGGCATTATAAGTCAAGGCTTGTAGATGACAGGAAAGAGAAAGAGAGCTTGTGTCATGATTTTGAACCGAAATGAAAAGTAAAAGTTTCCTTTTTCCTTAAAACAGGAACTTCTTCCTGGTATTTGCAGCCTGGTGGGGACTTTCCCTTAATGAGTTATGACCAATCAGCTTTCAAGGAGGGACAATTCCCTGCCTATAAATCACAGCATTTTCTACAAGAGAAAACGAACACTCAAGAACTCACCATCACCATGAAGACAGTCAATGCTGTTTCTCTTTCTTTGCTCCTCCTGCTTGCAGTGGGAATAGAAGGTAAGGAGGAATTGTAGCCTTTGAGGGCTGAGATATGTTTACCCTAGAATGTGAATTGATTAATTACTGGAAATTAATTTGCATTAATTTATATTGCCTTATTGCAATGTTTTTCAACCTTGGTGACTTTAAGATGGGAGGACTTCAACTCTCAGCTTTGCTGGCTGGAGGATTCTGGGAGTTGAAATCCACCCATCTTAAAGTCCCAAGGTTGAAAAACACTGGCCAATTGAATTATTTTGTTAAAACTCAGAGCAAGTCTACACATTTTCACTGTTTAGGGTTGATAAAGTCTCGTGCATAGCAGTAGTAAGAAAAAAAAGCAGACCACTGGTTACTTGAGATCTGTAAAATGTGTTGATTATTTTTAGCCTTGCAATAGGAAATGATGGATGAGTTTTTCAGGACAATTTTTTGTTTCAGCGAGGAGTCCTAGGTTTTGTGGCCATTTGCAACCGTGCAAAAGCAATTGTGCTGCTTTCCCATCCATGGATGGCTTTCTTTTTCATACAGTCTCAAAGCTGGCTAATAAAAATGGGCCTCTCCACTTCTGATTCTTGTTCACTGACACTGACTCATATTTGTGACGTTATGCATTACGCCATCCCCTTTGGAAATCTTGTAATGAGCAAAGTCAGCAGGGAATCCAGATCCGTTTAACAACTGTGTTACTGATTGAACAAGGTCGGTGACTCACTTAACAACATTGGCAAGGAAGGTCGTAAAATGGGGCAAAAACCTCATTTAATAAATGTCTCGCCTAGTCACAAAAATTTGGGGCTAAATTCTGATCGTAATTCAAGGGCTATCTGTAGATGTGTTTCAAAATGTCCGCCGGGATTTGCAATCACATTCTCTTCCCTATTTTGTACGGCGTCTAGGCATGATCACCTCTTTGAGGAATAGGTGTTTGTGCCAAAGGACATCTTCCGGAAGGGCTATACATCCGAGACATGTGATCGACTTCAAAGTCTTCCACCCCAGCCAGTCCTGCGACAAACTCGAATATATGTAAGTGTTGAATCATCTGATCCAGCAGTGTGCAGCAGCTGACAAAAAAGCCAACACAGTTCTAGGCTGCATAAACAGAGGGATAGAATCAAGATCACGTGAAGTGTTAATACCACTTTATAAGGCCACACTTGGAATCCTGCATCCAGTTTTGGTCTCCATGATGTAAAAAAGATGTTGAGACTCTAGAAAGAGTGCAGAGAAGAGCAACAAAGATGATTAGGGGGACGGGAGGCTAAAACATAGGAAGAACGGTTGCTGGAATTGAGTACGTCTAGTCTGATGAAAAGAAGGATGAGGGGAGACATGATAGTAGTGTTCCAACATCTGAAGGGCTGCCACAAAGAAGAGGGAGTCAAGCTATTCTCCAAAGCCCCTGAGGGCAAGACAAGAAGCAATGGGTGGAAATTAATCAAGGAGAGAAGCAACTTAGAACTAAGGAGAAATTTCTTGACAGTTAGAACAATTAATCAGTGGAACAACTTGCCTCCAGAAGTTGTAAATGCTCCAATACTGGAAGTTTTTAAGATGAGATTGGACAACTGTTTGTCTGAAATGGTGTAGGGTTGCCTGCCTAGGCAGTGGGTTGGACTAGAAGACCTCCAAGGTCCCTTCCAACTCTGTTATTCTATTCTATTCTATCTCCAGAGTAAAGCAGGGAGAGAGGAAAGGAAAAAAAAACCCAGAAAATTCTGATTTAAGAATATTTCTGCCATAGACAGAAGGTAGAGTTGTCTCTGCTGCCTTTATCCCTTAATGTGTGCCTCAAAGAATGCACAACAATGCTTGGGATGGGAATATATAAGTAATCCTCCACTTATGACCACAATTGTGATCCTTCTCTGTGGAAAAAACATCCCTGCAGAGATAGGATTGGCCCCCAAATGTTATTTTTCTCAAGACTCTGAACACCTGGTTCTGCCAATGGGTCTGGGGACTCCAGAATGACACAGAGCCCATCAAGTGGGTTTTTTAAAATTGTTGTGGAATGAGATTGTTATTGGTTTTTGTATTGTGGTCCTTGATGCTCTTTGTAGTTGGTTGTCTTCTTGCAGATGTTTCACTAGGCTACCATTGATGGTGTTACCTAGTAGGGTCATGAAATGTCTGCAAGAGAACAACCAAGCTCAGAGAGAACCACGGACCTCTCATTTCAAGCCTGAGCTACAAATATTTCCTTTATTGGCTTTTTTTGTATTGTGTTTGACATGCAAATTTATTGGGAAAGCTGGTGATGCTAGAAATGGTTATTGGCACAAGAAGGAGCAAACAAAAAACACACTGGCTTGATAATATTAAATCTGATACAAATATGAACATCCAGCAACTGAAAGAAGCTGTACTTGATAGGGTAGCATGGAAAGCACTTGCTTACAAACTCTCCAAGAAATGGGCACAAGTAAATGGTTAAAACAACAACAAATTGTTTTAGTATTGAGATTTTATCTTAGTAAGCTGCCCAGAGTCACTAAGAATGAGTTGGATGACCATATGAATTTTCTTAAATAGAGAGCAGAATTCCTTTTGCTAAGCAATTTGGTTACGGGAGTTGCACCTCATTTTACAATTGTTTTTTTGCCATACGCCAATCTAACTTTTCCCATCGATTTGGAGGAGGGGAGTCAGCTAGGAAGGTTACAAATGGCACTCGCATGCGATAAAACGATGCAACCATCATATATAAATGCTGGTTGCCAAGTGCCCAGATTTTGATTATGTAATTGTTGGGATGCTGTGATGAGCACAAGAGGAGGACTGGTTGTAACTTTGAACATCACTAAATGAAGCGTTGTGAGCTGTTAACTACCTGTAAGTGTAATAAATAAGGAGTTTGTTCATTGTTTCTTTCTTTTCAAGAGTGACACTTTCCTTGGGGAAACTCTCAAGAGAGCTGTGCCTAAACCCTTCACCAGAAGTACTGAAAAAGTATGAACAGTGTAAGTTTAATCAATTTTATATACAGTTGAAAGGACCAAAAGCAGGTTACAAACATAATTGAAACTTGGCATTTTAACAAGTAAAACATTTAACAAGCAAAATGTTTAATAAACATATCAGAATAGACTTAAAACTCCAGCTCATTGATTTATTACTAAAACCCTTGTTTACGTAGCCATAGTTAAAAATTTGGCTGTTGCCACTGTAATCTTAGGATTTTCATCTGCAGGTAAATTTTATATATTTGATACATATTTATAAAATGTATGTCTTCCTGGTTAGATTTTAAAATAGCCAGATAACTTCTTGCTGAAGACTCATAAACTTCACAATTGCTTCTTGGTCTTTTGGCTGAGATCAAGTGTAGCAAAATGTAAGCTGCTTCGGCTGCTTGGAGTGGAGACATTTTATATTTTACATTTATACTTATATTTTATACTTTATCACTTTCCATGTGCAATAATGTGAGCAGCAAGACTTACCTAACACCATTTAAAGTAGTTACCAAATTATTTTTTTCTGAGTTTCTACAATTCAGCGCACCCTGATTAACACACTTTGCATTAACCTACCCAATTTTAAAGCTAGCTGACCCTAGCAGGTTATGCAAAAGGCAACTGTTAGGTCCTTGACAGACCTGGCTGAGTATGTTGTACAAAACCACCTATTTAATATCTAACACAGCTTATTTCATCTTGGCATCCTCATCTGTTAGACTACAACTCCCATGATACCTAGCTGCAATTATACAATCTAAATCAGGGTCATCCAACCTTGGCGACTTTGAAACTTGTGGACAACACCCAAAAGTCTTAAGGTTGCCAAGGTTGCTCCTGATGATCTAAGCTATTAACTGTGTGTTTGAATATGTCTTCTTTTTGTTTCTTCCTCTAAATCAGGGGTGTCCAACCTTGACAACTTTAAGACTTGTGGACTTCAACTCCCAGAATTCCTCAGCCAGCAAAGCTGGCTGAGGAATTCTGGGAGTTGAAGTCCACAAGTCTTAAAGTTGCCAAGGTTGGACACCCCTGCTCTAAATCTTCCACTTGCTGCAAGTTTGGGATTTGCAGCACTCCCAATAGGAATCCATAGCAGAATTATCTATCCCATGTTATCCTGTACGGAGTAGATTAGGCAGAATGGTTGCCTTGCTCAAGGAATCTCGGGCTAGGTTTTACATCAGAAATAAGAGCAAATGTTGGATAGCAACATCCTTCTTTTTGCAACTAAGGGTGGGAAATATCTCTTTTTTGGAAGAGTTGATGCCCAAGTTGGACTTTTCAAACTCCAGTTAGGGCAAGGGTCTCCAATCTTGGCAACTTTAAGATTTGTGGACTTCAGCTCCTCAGCTTGTCATGTTGGCTGGGCAATTCTAGGAATTGAAGTCCACAAATCTTAAAGTTGCCAAGTTTGGAGACTTCTGAGTTACAACAGGGGTCTTCACACTTGACAGATTTAAGACTTGTGGACTTCAACTCCCAGAATTCTTCCTCCAGTCATGTTAGCTCGGGAATTGCCAAGTGTGAAGACACTTGCTTTAGAAAGACGATTTATACATCCTTAAGCAATGTTTGGGTCATATTAAAAAACACTTTGTTCCCCTAAGGGAATTTAGCACATGTTCAAGAGGACCTTTAAAGACCTGAAGGCTAAACACAAAAGCTATTAAGGTTTGGCACTGGCACACCTGAGCCAGAATTGGCTAGGAAGATGCTGTATTTGGCTGAAATTAATAGTCCTTCCAGGAAATCTGTTTTCACCTCTTCCATTTTGTTTAAAACAGACCAAGCTTCGAAGAAGACCCAACATAGAAGAAGAAACTAATTTCATCCAGGCAAAGGGTGATGGTCTCCGTTGGATGGCCCATGGATGCCTCAGGAACAAAACTGCCTCAACCAAAGAGGAAGTCTGCAGGGTTGTTATATATTTTTGTACGTAATATACAAGCTAAGGCATCATACAATTTGCTGGACTTTGTTAGCACTATGGCTTAGCTATTTAAATATAGCCAAACTGTGTTGAATGAACCAAACAATGGTTAAACAAGTGTTTGAAGCCAGTCTGTTTGGGAGAGTCCTATAGGTTTCCCACTTGGTTGCATACTGTATCACATCAAGCAGCTACTTTTATCTGGGCTAATTAGGTGTTTTTTATTTATCAAATGTATATGTAGCATGATCCCACCCAAGTTGCATTTAAGCCATCGTTCAGGACTTGTGAAAAAAGCCAGTTGTGAGCCTAAAACCAAAATCAAACGAAGTATGTAGGCTCTAGGTTTTGTCTGAGAGGTAGTGCAAACTAAGTGGGTCAGAGCAATCGAAGTAATTATCCCAAAAAACATGTAATCATTATTGGTGGGTTCCAAAAAGCCATGCGATTAACTTTAAGTAACCAAGTACCTTTGAACCTACATTTTGAAAATAGAGAAAATATATAGCTCAGGGTTACACTGTTGGACTGCAGAAGTCTTCCGAGTCAGTATTTCCATGGCTATTGCAAATGTTTATGGCTGCAAATTGCAATGAGCAATGTTATAATGTGAACACTCTACCCTTAAAGGTTATATTGGCCTGGACCCTGCTAAGTGATGAATTCCAGAACATGAGATTTTATAGGTTAAATGGCATTGTTGTTGGCCTGCTGATAATCTTTGGTTAATTTTGTCAGCATCCCTTATTGGTTCTTTTATGTTTCATTGACATTGTTTTATTGTTTTGAATGTGTGGTAAGCCTCGCAGAGTGGACAGCTGCACAAATTAATTTACCACAGAAATAACCAAAGATTAAGCTGGAATGAGATCACAGTATCACTTCTCTTTCTTACTCAACAATCAACCCAATGACCCAACAGAACAGTCTTGCAGACAAACACCGCATTTAACAGGGTAGCTCACCGATGACATGTAATGTAAATGTTACATGTAATTACATGTAACATATATTAATATATTTTACAATGGAAAAATCCCAGCTGGTAGCATTGTAGATATGATTCAGCAAGCAATGAAATATCTGCGAATGGAATGGAAAACTAAACTGGAAAACTATTATTGAAGAAAGTTTCTCAGTCTTGTTGGAACTGCTTTAAAATGTATAAAATATAAACATGTGCAAGGAATCCACTGTGATATGCTCTTAAGACTTTAGATATGCCTACATATCTAACTCTTTCAATCTGCTAAAGTTAATAATATAATTTATATTATTCAACCCACATTGGATAGGAATTTAAAATTAATCTCTTCACTCCAAGAAATCTGTAGAATTCAATCCTCCTTTCTATTTTATGTAACACAGGCAAAACTATTTTTTCATGTCAGTTCTAAAGATTTGCTTCTCTTAAATGTATTGTCAAATATGTGAAACAGGTACATTTAAACCACGGATGATGTAATACACATTCGATCAGTTCTTAAACTGTTACAGATATTGTTTACAGCTATATTTGAATATGTAACTTGTACTTGTTATGTGTATTCAGGAAAAATGAAATTAATATCAGGATGCCTTGTAAACATATGCCTGTTAATGTTTTAAAGAAAATAATGTAAATTAAGTCTAGAGGAAAAAAACTTTTTACCTAAGAAAATATAAATTATTCAATTAAAGGTAACAAAGCACAGACTCGTTTTATTGTATTCTTCATCTATTAAAACCAATCTTTTGATTTCCCTTTTCAAAAACATAGGAAAAGATTTTCTTTTCCAAAATGATTTTGGAAGTCAAATCTCCAACTGGAACACTCATTGCTGGAATATTTTATTCCTTATCAAACTTGTTTCCAAGCTGAGTTCCAGAAAACAAACAGATGCATGGATTAAGTTCTTTATTATTCATCAAAAAGCGATGGCAGCTACCAGTAGCAGTTACAGGATAGCGGCAAACACACAACCAGCACAATTTATATACAAGTATATAAGTGTCCTCCTATAGAATACCTACTCTTTCTCCAGTTACTCATTTCCCTCTTCACCTCATTCCATGTAAGGGACTTCCTTCTTTGCTGTGGTATTTAGATTTTCTGAATAATGAATGGTTGAGGGAGCTAAGTATGCCTGGTGTATCCAGAACCTGAGGGGCTGTCACAGAAAATAAGGGATTGATTTATTTTCCAAAGCACCGAAGGGCAGGACAAGAAGTAATGGGTGGAAAATTCAAGTTGCATGAACAAACTACTACTACTTCTTCTTCTTCTTCTTCTTCTTCTTCTTCTTCTTCTTCTTCTTCTTCTTCTTCT